GTCTGTCCCCTGCTACAAATGACAGATGCAAGTACCAAAATGCTTACTCCTTGTTGCCTAATAGGTTGCTCCCCCCGACCCCCGCAATGGTGTTGCATTTTTCTATGGTGAGGTCCATCCTGGCTTTCCTACCCTACTCCCAACCCCGTTTGCTGTCTTAGTAGCAATTCCTCCCGAAGGTTTAAATCAACAAAAACCGTTGGGCCAGGTCAGTAGGGAGCCATGGCAAGCGGATTTGGGGAACACCATCTGCCTGGTGGTACATTTGTTGCATTCTTAAGAATTGCCCCTGGTAGATACCAGGAAAGTTGGCTTCCAGGTGAAGGTGTTGGAAACCCTGGAGGCTCAGTCCACTAGGCCTGGCTTTGCAGAGTCGGGAGCTGGAAAGCAGCCTCGGTGCGCCTGCCTGCCCTCCCGCCAGCCAGGGCTCCTCAGAACCGACCGTTTTTTGCTTAATTGGGGAAAGAAGGGGGCGGCAGGAAGAGAGACAGGATCACATTACGGACCCTCCTAGTCCCTAATAGGTAAAGGAAAAGCCTAGTCTCTGAAGCACTGTGTGTGTGTGTGTGTGTTGTAGTAGTTCACTAAAACCATATTCTAGAACAAAGAGTTTTTCTTTCATGTTTCTTAGATTTCTTATTATTCTGACAGGAGTTCTAAAAACAGGATTTTTCAAGTCAAAGATATTCCTGGGGTTGTCTGCCCCTAATTTGTCCCTCCCCCTCCCTCCCCCCAACTGGTTTGGTATCATTATCCCGGTAAGGATTCTTTCTTGTGTTCCTGATTTAGCCTGAGGACATTTAATAGCTGACTGGATTAAATATTGCAGACTCCTGCCTGGCTATTTGAAAATCCGGGTCGTGGACTGTGCCTAACATCAGAGAAGGAAAACTGATCTATGAGATGTGTTTTAAATTTCACTCAGTCTGCAGAGAAAGAAGGAAGAGGAAGGATTCTCCTCCATCCTGGTTCTCTTTTCTGTGCTTACAAAACTCAGAAGTTTTAAAAGGTGTGTGTTGATGGGGAGTGGCAAGAGAAGCCTGAATGGGGGGGGTGAAGCAGGAAGGCTAGCAGAAATTTCCTTCAAAGAGCAGATGGGATTTACAAGAGCATTTAAAAGAATACTGCTCAGGAAGGCAGGACTGCCCCCAAGAGTGGAGCACCGCACTGCCTCAGGCTGCACCCACAGAACTCCGAAGAAGAGTGGAGCACCATAGGGGTGTACACACAGAACTCTAAAGGGTCTCATCTCACTGCTAAATCTGCAGTGGAGAAAGGGTCTATGCTCTCAACAGTAGCCCCAGACCTTTTGTGTTAAGGTTGAAGAGAAAAAGAGAAAAGAAAAGAAAGAAAGAAGGGTGAAGGGAGAGAGGAAATCCAGACAAAGATGTATGGTGTTTTAAAAAATGGAGACCTAGAAGCCTCCCACCCTGCCCAAAGGAATCTGTACACTTGAGGCAGAGGGGTCCAATCTAAGGATTCCTTGAAGGCCAGGCAAATCCAAAGGGGCAGGATCGGGCTACAGGGTTAGCATCCAGGATGTTTGGGGGCTATAGCTACATATGATGAGATATGATGATGTGCACCTAAAAGCAATAAATCAGGCTTAGATAAGACTGCAAGTGTATAAAGACTACATGCTACAGAGGGAAGGATTTGCCTGCTTATGTGGTTCTGGGAATTTAAATGTTTGGTTACTCTTCAATGTAACACTTTGAATGTGTTCTCTCTCTCTCTCTCTCTCTCTCTCTCTCTCTCTCTCTCTCTCTCTCTCTCTCTCTCTGCATCTCTGTCTTTCTGTCTCCCAGGAAACTCTAAGAATACAATAAACCCTGGCAGTAAAAATTAATATTGTAGAAGAAAATACTCTAAAACTCCTCAAGTTTTGTTTAGAGCCCAGAGCCCAGTGGAAGGCTATATAATAAGTAAGCCAGATGCAATATGGATGTAGCAGAGATTTAGGAACAGTGTTGCATTTACAAGAAGAGCCATGTTACAGTTACTTTACTAAACACTCTTACTGTATAGGCACCAAACCTTTAGTCTCTATTGTATGTGGAGATCCTAGCCTGCCCACGTGTTAGTATTAACAAGGAACTCCATGAACATTCGTCTTAAACACAGAAAAGACAATCATATTCATTTCCCAAACTGGGTAACTTTTTTCATTTTAGTTTTGTTTATAGGCCAAGCTTCCCTATCACATGGGGTAAAAGTGTCTTATGTGCACAAATCGTTTGGGGGAAAAATCCCCTTTCAACCAAAGCAGGCTCTTATCTTGGTGAAAGCCCTTCCCAGTGGACTCAGGACTCCCCAGAGCAGTGGTTCTCAGCCCCAGGAGGGAGGGATCCCCCTGCTCATCTTTCAGCCAGTGCAAGCATCTTGGAGGTTTAGGGTCTGTCAAGCCTGGCATTCCTGCTCTCTTCTTATCGCTCTCTGCCCCTTCAAATAGGCAATTGATTAGTTTCAGCTTTTCAAACCGAGACCTGATACTTTCCTCAGGATCAAATGCAAAGAAGCAGGGAGAGAAACAGGGAGGTGGAGATGTGAAGAAGGAAAACAGGACAGTTGAGGAGAAACAAAGGCCTTGCTGGGCAGGGAAGAAGCGGGGACTTCGGGATGATGCAGTGAGGGTGAGGCTTCCATTTCAGTGCCTATTTAAGAGAGAAAAAGGAGGCTGCTGATTTATGCCTGGGTTTTCCTGCAAGTCTTCCTTTCGTTTCAGGGCGTGGCTCCACATGCAACTTGCACATCTGTTCTCTTCACGTGACATTTCACAAAAGCCTTAACATCTGGGCAAGATAAACTTCCTCGGGTACCTGCTCAACTTTCCACTTGTCACACTGGCTTCCCCAGCAAGTCCCCTTGCCCTCTGCCTTAGAATAGCCATCTTCGTGCTACTCTTTGTTCTAGCCCCCCTCCCTCCCGCTCCCTGCTCCAGCCCCAGTCAAAGTCCCCTCAAGTGCCCCCACCCCAGTGCCAGCCTTTGCCAAAGCCCATTTCTTCAGCATATCCAGAAGTCTCTTGCCTGGGGCTCCACTCCGCAGGTAGGTGAGGCCAAGGCCTTGAACCCAAGGAGAAAAGACTTATTTCGATTCCGGATACAGACCAAAAACAAAACAACAAAACAAAACCTGCCTTGTAAGCACAATTCACACTGGATTCAGCTTCGGATCCTCGTCCTCTTCACATTCCTCCGCACAACCAGAAAGAGGGTGGCTGAAGGTGGTGTTTTCCTGGAGCGCTTCCTGGTAGACCTTTAGGCCGCATGTTTTACAGAAATGTTATTTCTCTGGTTCCGCTCCCAATCTCCCCTCCCCCAGGAAGGCTGCCTTCTGGAAGGAATGCTTTTAGCACTGTTTTTGCCTTTTCTAATCTGAAGTTTTGTTCCCTTGGCTTCAGCCTAAATCACATATAGCAAAACGACAACACTGTCGCCAGTTTGGGTATGAGGGAAAAGAAGGAACAGAAAATAGCCCACGTAAACAATACAGAAGCCACTGAAGGCCCTCGATGCAGCAAACCCCAAATGATCTTGCAGCGCGCCCACGAAATCCCTGCTGTAATTGACTGTTTTCCTTGAGGTTTCTGACCATGTGCTTTTTGCCATGTTGTATGGCTTTGGTACAAGAAGATGCCTACATACGATGTTCACATCCCGACCTTTCCCGATGCTTAACTCACTGGACTTTATCAAGGGGGACAAAATAAAGCAGTTCCTCCTGTCTCAGTGTTTGTAACTCTCCCCACCTTCCAGCGACCTGCCACTTTATGGACATCTGGGAATTCCATACGTGCCTCCAACTCCAATTATACACCTTCTTCAAAGCGTGCGTGCTTTGATTGCTAAGAACATTAAGTGGAGTTGCATCTTGGGCCTTGAAACAAAAGAGAATGTAAAAGTGCAGACGGTAACCAGTTTACAAGATCTGTCTTAGGCTGCCCACTAAACAGAGAAAATGAATCCTTCTGTTTGTATTTTCCATGTTCAGTTCCCAAGGATGAGTCGGAGAAATAGTGCTGTTGTCACTACTAAGAACAAGGAAGAAGTCCACTTCTTCCATCGTGCGGGAGCTCTGGCTTTCCTTCCACTTTCACTGGAGCTGGGGGTGGGGCACTCCTTATGACACATTAGCAGAAATTTCTGGAAAAGTGGCCCCTGGGGATTCCCTTCCCGACCCCCAGTTTGTCACTAATGTGGGCCTGTCTTTGGAAATTTGAGGTTGGGCCGTTGCCTGTGTCTGTAGCTGCTTCGCAGTGCTACTGCTGACACTTGGCGCAACATACCCCTAGCAGCCGCCAGAGGCACAGAGCAGTGGGTCCCTGCCATCCACAGAGAGCAGCGACGTTGACACTCTCCACAGAACCGGTCGGGACTGCCACCCAAGCAGGGGAGCCTCCATCGGTGCTCCTCTGGTGCACTCTACGAAGGTGAGACCCCTGCTCCCTACGGAGTGCTGTTTGGGTTTCCGTGGCGTTTGTTCCCCCAGCAGGTTTGTTTGTTTTTCTTCAAATTACAGATGCAGGGAAAACCGCCTGACATCATGAGAGCCGGACAAATGCTCACTTTGAAGGATTCCTGGGCAGGACTTCAAGTGAAATCATATGCCTGAGAAGAACTTGATACTGGTCTAGAGAAAATAACTAGTTCTGACTTTGCCAAACCATGGAATGTGCAAAATGCTCTACTTTTTTGTGAGAGGCCAAGTGTCCCTTAAAAAGCTCCCTTATGAGTATAAGTCCAAAGACCCCAGGGGCAGGAAGCTTGTGCCAATCTTGACTGTGGGAAGAAAGGACACAGGTTGTGTGAGTTTCTACTTGAGGTTATTTTATTAGTGTGCCGCACTTTGGGTAAGGGATCTGCAAAGGTGCCTATATTATCTGTACACTGCTAAACGCACACATAGATGCACGGAACCCAGAAATGTGTGCATGAGCACACTTACTGCTATTATCAAAGGCTTATCAATTAGAGGAAGCTAAAAACAAGACAAAACAACTATCTTCACAGTAAAATATATTCAGTTCTTCAGATGGAAGATCATCTAACACAATTCTTTCATTAGCCAAAGCATTGTGGTTGGGGGACAGACAGGAGTCCAGACACATTACATGACAACATTTAGCGCCTCCTCGACAAAACCATGTAACGGGTAATCTATTCAACATGTACTTTAAACAAAGGTAGCTAAAGTAAAACACTGGAATAAGAAGAAAATAACGAGAGAGGTGAACAAACAGGCCCTTTCTACTATGAAGAGTGGAGCATTTTATGCTGCATTAGTGGAGATGTGATTGCAGACATAACCTTGCAAGCTGGACATTACATTCTAGGCAACAATTCCCACCACAAAGTCGCCTCACTTAAACAAAACTATCTGTGGGCTCTTTAAAAAGTTTTTCTATGAAAATCCAGGAGAAAGAATTATTTCATTTTCTTATTACTGGGTGTCAATATGGCGAATGCCTTTCCCCAGTTTCCTTTTTATAAAAACAATAAAAACAACAACAACAACTAAAAAACCAAAAGTGGAGGAAAAGAAGCAAATGTCAAGCCACTGACTGTTTTCTGAAGCATCTGCCACACACCCAGAGTTAGGACAGCATTTACCTTCCCAGCCATGAGGTGACTTCCATCCTGGTATACTTCAACAGTCAGACCAGGCCAGTGAACAAGGAAGCTCCCCCCAAGAAATCTGGAAATGGACCTGATGAGAGTTGCCATCTTGGTCTCCCCGACTTTTGGGGCACTGTCTTTACATTCTGTCTTACACACTTGCAGTCCACAACCGCCCCCCAGATACACCACACAGAATCACCTTTTCTTGTCACTGTAAATGATAACCCAAGACATAAAAACAGAATAGAAAAATAAAAACCAGTAACTCCCCATGTTTTCACTAATATTTTAATATAACTCAATACTACAGGCTCCTAATTATAAAATGCGTCTAAAATAGTCACACTTCTTAATTTATAGTGCTGTCATGTCAGCATTTGGTACTGTTTTGTGAAGAGGAAAGAAAAGCCTCTGGGCAATAAAATAATCTCTACCTCAGCTAAGCAAATGCAACTTATTTGGAGACAGTAGCTTATTTGAATTATTGCATGAATGAGGCACCACAATAATTTCCAGCTTGAAAACACCTTATTTACATATGGCTGTGTTAAACTGATGAAATTGTAAAGACTAAACTTTTAAAATCACTATTTTAGTCATTAAAGTCTCAGGAATATCCTGAATGAAATAAAAACCCAGTTCTGTCTGCCCTGGCTTTACAGAGCTTCAGGAGTGTGTGTAGTATGTGTAGTGTGTATGTGTGTGTGTGTGTGTGTGTGTGTGTGTGTGTATGAGTGTGTGTGTGTGTGTTTGTGTACATGGTACTGATGGTATTGACTGAAGACTGAAGAGCAGTAGTATTGAACAAATGGAAATTGTTCCAGCACTTACCGAGGGCACCTACAATTTAGATATTTATTTTTACTGCACAGCTGTGTATTCTTAGGGGTGTAGCAGGAGCATCTTTCCCTTGGGAATAAAATTAATAGCAAACCCTTTTCCTTTTTAACCAGCAAGGCACTCACTCAAGAGGTAAACAAATCACACAGCAATCTCCCCCTCAATCAGGTTTTTCTACACAGTTGAAGAATAATACATACAAAGTATGTATTGTTTTCATAACACATTGGCCTTTCAGTGAAATAAAACTCTTTAGGAATCGCCACGGAAATGAAGGGAAGGGCAACAATGCATAGTAACTGTTTCCCATTGCTCATTTGAATGATTTAGATCCCGCTCTGAGCAAGAGGCAGTCAACAGCAAATCTGCTCAGTTCAGCTTAAGAAGTGGAGAAGGGGTGAGCCCCGCTGAACGCCAAGCTGTAATAATAATAGAGCCGTCCTTTAAATAGCATGGCTGTCTCTGTCAGTAGCTGGTTTATTTGAGGTTTCCCCTCCTTTGTTTATATTAGCGCCCCCACTCCCTCCTCGATATCCCCAGAGTTAAACAAACAATTATTTACCGCCAACCTAATTCTGAGTTTTAAAGTATAGACCAAACTTTAAAGTTCTTAAAATTTTTCAATCATATTTATTTATTGCAGAAAAATAATATACAAAAGATATTTACAAAACAGTCATAAAAATATGAATGCATTTAGACACCGGATCTATTTGCATTTTACCGTGGGTCATCAATAAATAAATAGAACGTTGTCTTTTGTATTTTAGGTTTTCTTTCCCTTCAGAGGACATTTCCTTTGTTTTGTTTTTTAAGGAATTCACTGACTATGGTTTTGTAGGCCAGTTTGATCCCAGCGTTTTTATTTCTACAGGTGTCTTTAAAATTCCTCTGATTGTTATCATCTTAAGATGGAGAAAGTCCACAACGATGCCTTTCTCCCCAGTGGCTGATTGGCACGACCTCTTGAGAATGCATGCATGAAAAAAATAAAACATTCTTCGTCGGGGGCTGGCACAAACAATGGTTCAGACTTCTATCAGAATGCAGAGGTGTGAGGCGGGTGCTGCTGCCTCTTGGGAGTCTCAGGTCCACCGGCCTGTCTGGCTTTCTCTTTAAAGGTGTGCCCCACGCCCCGATTCTTTTGAATTTGGGTTCTGCTCTTCTAATTTCCAAGAAAATCTTTCTCATATAGATTTATTTTTAGTTATCCAGCTCCAGAGTTCTCTAGACTGTCCATTTTCTCCTTCTCTGGAAACAATGACATCTGCAAAAACCCAGAAGGGGAAAGTTGGTTATTGTCTATGTCTGTGGCTGTTTTCTCAAGACCACTAAGCCCTGTTACCACTACCAGCGAGAATTTTCGCTGGACAACCTGGAAGGATTTCAGCCCAAGGGCAAGAGGAAGTGGGTGGGCGGAAAGGAGGGGGTGGAATTTGGAAACATTTGTTTTAAGAAGAAGGGAATTTTAAAGAAAGGGGGAGGGCTAGCTCTGGACACAAGGCCCTGCCTCTTGACTTTCTGGGTCTTCTGTCACGCACACTCCCGCACACGCTCACCCGTCTCAAGGGCACGCTCGGTGTCCCCGACGCGGACCCGTTCCCCCAGTGGGCACTGAACTACCTGCCAGAGACGCGGGTGGGGTGAGGTGGCGATGCCCGGCTAGGCAGAGGGCAGCTAGTTAGAGTGGGGACAACCCTGCGCGGCAGGCGGCGAGGTGGCCAGGGAGCCCAGGCGTGGCCCGAGCGACCCGGGAGCGGGTCCTTACCTAGGTCTCCGGCCTGCCGAGGGGGTGGGGATCTCCGCCTGCTAGTGGGACGCGGACATGGACCAGGCCCCCTCCATCCTCCAGACGGAGAAGGCGTAGCTGAGCCGCTCGTGGGCCACATAGCTGCAGCTTGCCATCTTGGAGTCCAGCTCGTCGCTCTGCAGGACCTGGTACAGGAAGTCGATGTACCTGGCCGCCAGTTTGAGGGTCTGAATCTTGCTCAGCTTGTCCGAGGGCAGCGTGGGGATGATCTTGCGCAGTGCGGCGAACGCCTCGTTCAGGGACTGCGTGCGCTGGCGCTCCCGCACGTTGGCCATGACCCGCTGCGTCTGCAGCTCTTCGTACGACTGCGGGCTCCCGCCCCCGCTGCTGCTGCCGCCGCCGCCGCCGCCCGCGCCGCCGCCGCCACCGCCCGCAGATTTCTTGCCGCGCTTGCCCTGGGCCGGGCTGCCCGGTTCGTCGCTGCCGCCGCCGCCGCCTCCGACGCCCCCGCCGGGCCCCGCGCTGCCGCCCGCGCTGCGTCGACTGCTGCGCCGCTTGCGAGCCCCGCGCTTGCCGCTCGCCGGCTGCTGCCGGTCCGGCTCCTCCTCGCTGTTGCTCAGGCTGTCGTCGGCCGGCGAGACGGGCGAGCTGGACGCGTCCTGCATCATCGCGCGGGCGGCGGCGCCGTGCGGCCTCGCGGAGCCGGGAGCGGGAAGAGCAGAGGAGCCGGGCGCCTCAGCCCGCCAGCTTCCCCGCGCTCGCTCGCTCGCTCGCTCGGCGCCGGCCCCGGGCGGTGCGGCCCGGAGGACGCAGGGAGGAGGGATGGGGGGGAACCTCTCCGCGGGGAGGGCACGGGAGGCGGGGAGGGAGGCGGACGGGGGAGGGGACGGGGTGGAGGGGCCCCGAGGTCCAAAAAGAAGGCGCCCGACGGCCGCACGCGCGCCCCGCTCGGCCTGGCGCAGCCCGGTGCCGGCGCTGGCGAGCCCGCGAGGTGCCTGGGAGTTGGGCGCGGGCTGCGGGCTTGGCGGCTCTTATACCTCCGTGCGGGCGGAAAGTTCGGGGGCAGCAGTGTCATTGGCCTGACGTGGGGAGGAGGGACTTTTGGAAGTTTTATAGGAATGTTTCCGCTTTCCAGCCCCCCTTCCCCCGGCCCGGCCCCCCCTTCCTCGGGGTCTAACAATTCGTCCTCCTAACCATTCAGAACCGACCTGGCCGCGGCGACCAGCCCCTGTGCCCGCCCCCCCCCCGCAAGCTCCCCCTCCTACACGCATACCCCCCCTCCCAGGCGGACGCGGGGCAGTTTCCTTCCGCGCCCCAGCGCGCGCCCAGTGCCCCCCGCACCCGAGCGCAGCTCCGGGGACAGAGGTGACGGCGGCTGCTGTCCCCCACCCCGCCCTAAACGGCTGTGACAGCAGCAGTGGCAAGGGGCTTCCAGGCACTGGGTGATGTCTCATCCCTCCCGGGATCCCTTTGGGGATGTCTGGAGCCCAGGCTGAGTGGCAAGAAAAGTGTCAGCCACCGAGCCCATCCAATAATCAGGTAGAGGAAACCCCTAGTCTGCAGGGATTCACCGCGGCCGCCAGGCCCTGCGGTCCGGGGCGGTTCTGAAGACGTGGCCACACCGCGGGCTGTGGATCTTTGCCCCCGCCTGCCTGCCGTCCCCCTCCCGGAGGAACAGCTGGGCTCCCCTTTCCTGCTACGGTGACCCAATCTAAAGTTTCCCTGCTCTCTAAAGACTGAGCCTCGGAACGTGCTGGAAGGAGGCTGAAGTTCATTCTTCTTTGGAGACTAGGCTCGCCTTTAGGAAGGGAGCAAGGCGAGGGAACGGCCGGGCAGCCTTCCTGTTGGCCCCAGTCCCGCACACACACTGGAGTCCGAGGTGGAAGACACCCGTGACCATTGCATCGCTATTACTCCCGAATTAGGCCCTGTGTTGTAACCTGGGGTAGTCGGTGTAGAGAATTTTAAGGTGTGTCGGGCGTGGGGGCGGTCGCTGGCGGGCGGGGGCAACTCAGTATGATTTCCAGGGCTGCCTGGTTCGAGTGCCCCATCTCAAGTCGTCTTCCTAGCAAGTTGCATGAATGGTTATGCTCTCAGTGCCTCAAATGCATTCTTACCATTCAGCCATGTTTGGTGATGCAAATATTTCCACCTATCGTGAAAACCCAAGAGCTCCAAAGAGGACTCTCGAAAACTGGAAGCTGAGAGGTTGATGAGCAAGAAGGGGAGCGGATATCGAACTTTAAGGACGAGGGCTTAGGGGGTCGGTTCAATATGACCTCTTACTCAAAAATGCAATTCTGGGTCCTAAGGCAGTAAGTAGCCAGAGTTCAGAGGCAGAGTTTACATGCACGGAGACAAGCTCCTCGAACTCCTGCTGCTCACGGCCTGAGGTCTTGGCCCAGGCTCCCAGTCCCCCTCCCCGGGTCAATCCCCTGGGGAAATGCTAGATCAGCAAGTGCCCCTTTTGGCGTTGGACCAAAGGTCGCGGCCACCGACTTCCTGAGAAGCTGGAGGCCGAAGACCCTTAGCTTCAGGGCAGGCCACGTGGCTGCATCGGGCTGAAGCTGAGCTTCTCTCTCAGCTGGGTCTCGGAAACGCTGGAGTGTGGAATGCCTGGGCCTGGTCCTGGGGCTCGCCTTTGTGGGGGAGATCTACCCCCGGGAGACCAGTAAACCTGACCATGCTTTCACCATGGTAGAGCCTTTCCTGGCTTTTACAGATGTCAGGAGACAATGACCACGTCGTGCCAACTGGACTGCCCCGCCCACTGCTGCTGTATTTTAAAAGGACAGCCTGGCTGAAAACCAGATTCTACTTGACCTCCACTTAATTTTAATAGCTCGTAGCCAATTCTTCTCAAAATAAAGCCACTCCTTCACCCTTGTATTTGTATCTTCCACCGACAAGAATTTATCTGTAGGAAACCAAACATGGGAGAAATTCTACCTCATTCTCTATCAAGCGTCCTCTTTTCTAAATATTCGAATTGCAGAGTATCCCACAATTACCTTTTAGAAAGTGACCGTGGAAATTTCTAGACATTTGCATTTTAGCTATCTTCAGTTTCCCTTTATGAATATTAACCTTGAAAATTATGTTTTCCTTTAGCTGAGTATTAAATATAATGCAAAAAGAACGACTGATAGGAACCTTTTATTCCTTTGGGGACGGGGGCTAAAGAAGATGGGGAGTAGGGAGCCGAAGTGGGGGAGGTTTACTTCAGAGGGGAAATGTTGAGAGAGGAAAGGTTGGACCTGGTGTGGAGAATCAGTTTACCTCTCTGCCTAGCCAGGGTCATTAGCAAGTGCACCTTTCTCAAGCCTTCCATTCTGCAAGTCAGCCCTGGGGCTGCACTGAGTTGGATTTCCCACCTCCACCCCTGGGGGCTACGCAAAAGTTAGCAGAACTTTTGAAATGAATGACCTAACCAGAGCCGTCTCTGACTTGGGATCTTTTGAACAGGGTCACAAGGAATCATTTTAGTTCTGAGTAGAAATTTCTCTTGAACTCATTCTGAGGTGCATGGAAGTAGTTGTTAAGTGGATCTGGGATTTACGTTCTGAGCCAAAGGTGGTACCTTTCCAAGACAATGGACTCAGATAATCTGTGTGTGCAAAGGGGGACACATCGAAGTGGGCTGCTTTGTCTGTTGGGTACAGCTCCTTGTCACATTTTACTTACCTACTTCCCTGCCCTTGCTGGATAAAACTGAGTCCGTTATCTGCTCTCAAGGTGGAAACAGCCCTAAATATCTCACCGATTTGCATAGTGTTCAGTTAACATAAGAGAATTTCCTTTATTTTCAGCCCCTGACTTTGGTCTTTTATGTAAAAGAGTTTTCCATCTGTCCTTTAAGGCATCTGTCAATGTGACATCAGCTGGAGGCTGGGGAATGATAGGTTAATTAAAATCTAACTTTGTCTACATCAGAAACAGGCAAGATCCCCCCCCAAAACGTTCACTGAAAACAACAAATGCCTTTTGCACTTGGAGATTTCACAAGAGGTTTGCTCTCAGGCTGCAAACTTGGCATGTTAGCAGTTCTTCCTGAGAAGTGCTTATAAAAAGAAAAAAAGAAAGAAAAAGGAGAAAAGGACAGAAATCTGATGCTGGGCACACACCGAATCTCTGTAATTGTCCTTACAGGTTCATTGTGCACTGGCATGCTTTTAGACAGTTACAAATACTTTGAGATAAGGAAAAGAAACACACTGTAAAATTGTTAGCAAGATGGTAGGCTTTAGAGTTGGGTTTGTTCAGAGACTCTGCTGTCATCTCTCCTTAGTCTTCAGATGACAGGTCACTGGGCCTTTTGAACTGCAGAAGGAAGCACGTCGGAAGGCTACAGATGAGTAGGTCTCAGGTGAGGCTGTGAGTCTTAGATTTCATCTCATTTTAGATACTGTACAGGAATTTCCCAGTTTGGTATTTCAAAGAGATAATTTTATTACAATGTAATATAAACTTCAATCACGCTTGGTTTGCAGACAGCCTGGGTGATATTTGAGCATCTCTGTCCCACTGGTGATATTCCAGTTCAGAAATCTAACTGATTTTACTTTTTTCTTTCTGAATTTCTCTAATAACATGGAACTGAAGTTTCAATCCAGAAGTACAGAGAAAAAATGAAAAGAAACTGAAGGACTCCTCAAATGAGCAAATAAAAATGGAAATCGGTATTGATCGTCAGAATATTTGAGATTTCATTTGATATGAGGATGGGATTAAGACTTGTCTGTCCTGGAAGACATGGAAGACATAGAGTCCTCTGTTCCTCCTTGACTTTATTTATTCTTCTGAGGCTTCTGGTAAGTGCAGCTTGGAGAGTTGGTATCATATCTCATTGCTGGTTGACCCAATTGAAATCCACACTCCCTAACTCCTTAGTTATTTTCGAATTGCTTTGGTAAGTGAAGAAAGCCTCCTATGAAATACAAAACTTCTGGGGACATCTTACCATGATCACAGGCGTACTGTGTACTATTTACATATGTTATCTTAAGCCATCTGAAGCGCAGCAGTTTAAGCAGAAATCTGACAATTTATGCTGTTTTTTCCAACTTCGTTTTCCTTTTTGGTTATCCATAACTTTTAACTATCTTCTCTCTGAGACTTTCCTCATCAGCACATTACTTTTCCTGTAACCTTAAATCCCATTCACATTATTGGATTTGGTTCCTCCTGAAGATAACATGTTGTTTTTGCCAGTGACCACAAGAGGACACAATTTCCCAGGAACTTTGCCTAAAGTTTACAGAAGGAAGAGTAACAACATAGCAAAAATAGCGATCAATGAAAGTCATTTAAAGATGATTAGCTAGTCTGTGTCACTTTTATAAATTTTTAAAATCATAAAAATAAGTTAATCTTCAACCTATAGGTGGTTTTATCTATTCTTCCCTTATTGTGAAACTTGGAGGAAATTATGCATTTATGGCAAATGTGAAAACTTTAGTGTTGTTGTTAAGGAAAAATATTTATATTTAACAGAATTTGTGCGAAACTCTTGATGACCTCTACTTTTAGAGTAATGTTTAATAACTGAAAAAAAATTTTAAGACTCACATGAGCATTTCAAAATTCTTAGCTGGGTGTGTTGGTGCATGCTTAAAATCCCAATACTTTCAAGGTGGAGATGGAAGGATTGCTTAGAGTTCAAGGCCAGTATGAGCCATGTGGTATATACTGGGCCAGCCAATGAACTGTAGTGAGATACTCTCAACAAGATTTTCCCTTGACTGAATTTGCAATGTCTTTACATAGGAAGGTACACTGAAACTGTACATGTTAAATAAATAAAATTATTTCACAAAGATTGTAGGATTACT